GTGTGTGGGTGTGTGTGTGTGTGTGTGTGTGTGTGTGTGTGTGTGTGTGTGTGTGTGAGAGAGAGGAGTGAGTGAGTGAGTGAGAGAGAGAGAACTATGTGGTAAAAGCAGAAACCAGTGTTGCAGGCATTTGACACGGGTGCATACATTTTCCAGTGAATGCTTTCTAAAAAGGCAATTGGTTGTATGCAAAAGAATATTGTGGTACTTTGATAATAATGTGTTATTTATGCTTCCTCCATGATATCACGGCAACATACATGACTTTTTTAATCACCACATCTTCACAGGGATCCTGTGAAGCAGCCTGTGTAACCCTGGGCTTCCAGCAGGTGAATTTTGTGACTTGGCTGGGCCTAAAGATCTGATGTCTCAAGGCCCAGTGAAACACAGAGCCTGACCTGCCAATTGACCACATTTTCTATACGTGATGAAACACACATCTACTGTCAGGTTATTCTTGCTGCCCTGCCTCTGGTCGCATACCATGTGTGACTGTTAATACCCATCACCCTTTATTTTATGAGCAACATACTGTCCCAGCCGAACAAACCTCAGCTGCCTCAAGGCACTCAAGTAGCTGCTGTTAATTAGCCCACAAAGCATGAAGTGAGCCGCATGCAGGCACCGAAGCTTTAAAACAAGTGCTGGAGCAAAGACATGGTGGCGAAGGCTACATGCCAGCCCCCCTCCCCTCCCACTTTTCTTATGATGCACTTGGTGCATTGTTGGCACGCAGCACCTCTTGGCCAGCGGGGAACGCTTGGGTGCGCAAAGATTTTTAGGGAAGCCTTAGCTATGTGTGTGGCTCAGCCTACCAGAGAATGTGCACACAGGTCTACATACATCAAGGGTGATGCACAGTCTCACCGTTCTGTCCTGTTTATTTCATTTGCCTCCTTTCTGGCACTAAACTGCACATTCTGCAAGCTGAGCAGTTTGGCCTGGATTTTGGGGACTTTTTGATTAGACAGCAAGCCAAAGATAAAGAAAAATGCATGAGACAATTACATCCAGCATATTGTGGTAAGGGGGAGGGGGTGAGATACTAATTGGGTTTATTGGATTCTATAGAGGAAAAAGAAAAACTCCACCAGAACCCCTCCCCCCATCACCTCTACTTTCAGTTAGTGCCTAAAGTGAAGATCTATACAATGCTTATTCATCCTTCACATCACAGGCTTCTGTGCTTTCTTGTAAAGAACCCAGCACTCAAAAGCCATGCTGATCTTTGGTTAAGAGTCCTTAAAGGTTCTGTGCTGAAAGTAATAGTAGTAACCCATGCAATAGAATAGTGGTTCCCAACCTTACAACTCCCAGAAATCCTGGCCAGCACAGCTAGTCGTGAAATCTGGGAGCTTTACTTGAAGAACATCTGGGGAACCAAGGTTGGGAACCAATGCAATAAAAGGATGTTAGCAAAAATATTTACAATAGATATAAATGCAATTTCACAATGAATGTTGTTAATTACTTTTTTTCCGTTACAATTTTAAAATGGTTAATGATACAGTAGTTGTGTTAAGATCTTTTACATAAATTCTGAGGGCAGCGGGTAATTGTGTTAGTCTAGTGCAGCACAAACGACGGTCCCATTGCACCTTAAAATCCAGGATATTTTCTTGTGTTATGCCTTCATAACCTTTGGCTTGTTACCTGGCATCTAGTTACCTGGACTGCAGTCCATTAATATTTATGTCAGTGGTTCTTAACGTGGGCGATAATGCCCCCCAGGGGGCGATTT